GTCGTCTGTAAAGATATATCTCTTATCTATGTATATATAGACACTTTTAAAAGTTTATTAAATACTTGTACTTATCTTAAGAAATTATGAAATTTAATCTTAAATTCTTAAGTCTAGTTTTATCCTATTTTCTTATGAGAGAAACGAAAACCCATAAAATTACCATACTCTTGATAAATTAGATATAGTTTTCATCTTTCTCTTTATTATTACATTATACATATGTATAATATCATAATTTTTATAACATTCTGGGTCCGTCTGTTCGTCATTCCAATAGGGCGTCGCTATTGAAAAACGTGAATTTAAGATCGAGACGTTTAATGCATTCTTTTTCCATTTATAAATATAAAATTTATTTTATTTCCTTTTGTACAAATTGCACTAATTCTCAAACGTAATCAACGTGTAGTCATTATATATGAAAAGCATTGTAGTTTTCTAACTTACAATCTTTCCAGCTTTAAAGTATTTAGAAATATTCAAACGCTTGCAGTAAACGGTTGACGTACTTAAGTAGAGTGACTTAGAGTACCTATATGCTATAAAGTGTTTGTAGCGTTCATGCAGTGTGTGCAGGATGTATTGGTTCCATATGACCGTGTCTAACCCAAATGGCCTTGAGATAGAGCAATTTTTTTAGTATTATGAACAAATCAAATTATTTTCGAATTTCCAACTAAGGTTTGTCTGCCCATCTAAAGTCTGCTTATATACTTTGCCTAATTTCTTTGGTTGCCGGGATAAACATGGCATCTCTAAGTAATCTCAGCGTGTTGTTTCGCTGAAAATAGAAATTTTTGGGACACTTTATTCCCGTAAAAAAGAACCCTTCGCATGGTGGGCTATTTTCCAAATTTTAAAAAATTTCTTCCAGCTCGTTTGCATTTACTACTTAAACCCTATTCGCAAAGCAGACATGTCTATGTTAAAGATGAAAATAACGGATCCAATATATATAAAACTAAAGGTTGGAACCACCCAGAAAGGTGTTCTAACAAACTGCAAAACATGTATAGCAAAGTACAATTTTCATTCTATCGCATTAAGAATCAAACCTAAGACTTTTGATTAGATGTTGACCATCTTACCCGCTAGCCTGTGCGGTCGTCAAATGCTTCATTAGAGATTTTTTCTTATATTTTATCATTTTCTAACAATTCGATTCTCACAGTAGATTGCATTCGTTTTAAGCAATTTAAGTATATTGTACTGTAATGTAATAATAGGTAAAGGGACAAGGTCTCGAATCCGCGCACCCAATAATGCTAAAGCATTTTTATACTTTATTTTAATACGAGAATCGCAAGTTTTCATGAAAACTTGTCGATTTTCCAAAAAAAAAAAAAAAAACCTCAAAGAAAGGAAAGGCTTTACCTACCTCATCCAGTTGGCGACTCGTGAAAATCGTAACAACAATTGACAGATATTTAGCGGGAAAAGGAATAACACCAAGATGTCTAGACGATCTAAGGTAATATTAACTTGCTTGCAAAAGTCTCTGCATATATGCAGAAAACAACTTAGAGTCGAGTCAATAGAGTTGAATTGCATTATTGCACAAACGGCCAAGGTCAGAACGATAACTAAAGCGTTATAGGTACAAGTCGCTGCAAGGAATTTGCAAACGGCTTTCCTAGGAATTATAAATAAAACCTATACTATATACAAAAACGTAAAATCACGACAAAACGAAAAATTATTTACGGCTCCGGCAAATCTTCTTTACCCTCTGCTTGTGTCCCAATAAATAATCTTAACTCTTATACCTTCTAATATAGGCTTGGTGTGGCTGATTTTACCGATATTTGTAAAGCATATATAGTGTATAGTAAAATATAAGTAATGAGCAAACAAGCTAGAAAGAAGCTTTAGCAACTTTGAAACCAACAGCTTCGTTTTTGCAACCAAGAAAACATTTGGTAGAGATATTGCGCTGACAGACCGACAAATAGACGGACATGGTTAAATCAATTTAGAATTTGGTGCTGATAAAGAATATTTCTTCTTTATTGAATCTCTAAGGTCGCCTTGTGAGTGTTGCAAATATGCATTAAGAAAATCAATATTTTTTCGTCCTTTGTTGGAGGGGGGGATTCGTTTTGAAATAAAGCTTGCCTTTCACTTAATAAAAGTTTATTAAATATCTCCTTTCCAAACAGTTTTGATTGATGCATTTAAAAACATGGTCCGAATTTTGTTATATCTTTGTACATTTTTTTTTACAAGTTTATCCATAATTAGATTATTTTTGTTATTTGTACGTATTTTTAACGATAACCGATTAGGTTATTCCCGCATTTACATTGTTTGCCGGTTGTAAACATTGATCCTTGAGAAAACTGAAATATTATTTCACTAAAGTGTTAAATTATTCAGTCGATATGCATTACATTAAATTAAATGACAATTTAAGACTAAACTAACAATAATAGTGAATTTCAATAGCTAAAGCAGACCGAAAGAGAAAAATGTTGTCGTCCTTTTCTTCTTAAGCGTCTTCACAAATTTTTTTCCTCTTTGTGTTACATTACCTATTACTACCTCCTCGTAGATATTGAGAACAAATGATAAGAAAACTTAAACCCATCCACACTAATACCATATAACACTAATACATCGGTCAATAAGTTGTGGGACTAAGTAAGAATACAAAATATCTCTTCTTCTTTTTTTTTGGGGCAAAATACGATCTTGTTCATCAACGCACTCCCTTTCAAGTGTATCGACGCGTTTCTTATTGACTCTCAAAGCACTTTTCATTTCCCGCATTGATCTCATCATCCTTTTGATATTGCTAGCGGCCGGATCTCATGCATGGCACAGCAAATTGAATTTCAGTACATGCGATTTTATCAACAATTCCGAAATTCTGGTGAAAATCCTTTTAACGATGAGGCACTTTTCAAAGATAGTACGAGATGACATCAATGTATCAGTACGGGGAATTATTGACCGATATATTACATATATGCATATATATATATATATGTGTTTGCCAAACAACACAATTGCAATACACAACACAACATTTACGCAATCCATGTTTGTATACATATAGTACATGCTTGCTTATCGAAAAGCAATGGATACAATACCAAGTATATTTCATGCATTATTCAACAAAGTGTTTTGTTCACTTAACAACAATTTCAATTGATTGAAATTACTGAAGCACAAAATGAATTTTGATTTTTGATTTCGTTTTTACTATAAATGTCACACAACACAATTGTGTGTGCGTAGGCATATAGATACGCAATTATGTGTCTATGTTCACATTGATATAATGTCATCAAGTGAAAATCGACAAGTTGGTTAAGAGCCTGCTTGTAACATGCATACGCACATTTACAATTATTTGCAATTTATATCTGAGAGTGTATAATTTCAATAAAGTTGTTTTTGTTGTTTTTTTTCTCATTTTTTTAACACATTATCATAACCCAAGTTCTGGGGACACACAAATTTTCCTTATTTACATACATATTATCATTCTTGTTAGTGTTTTTATTAATTATTGTACATAAAAATACCCATATTATAATAATGTGTTTATTTTACATAAATATAAACTATTTTTTACAAAAGTCCCCTTTTTGTTATCGATCAATCGATCAATGCAAGATTGTTTTTTAATTCAGAATGACTTTCTCAATCGATATGAGCTTCTCTGTCTGTGTATTCTCTCAGTAAAATCTCAGTTTTAGCGGCTTGTAATACGCTACACCTTGTCGATCCCATTATATGCATAACTAGGCTTTATGTCAATAAATATTCATCCTCGGTGTCGATATAGACAGCTCTTTTTGCTCTTGGGATTGTCGTAGTAGACTCAATTTTCATTAACTGTTAAGCTGTTCGAAAATGCTTCGAGAGTTTGAGTTGGGTTTGCATCCAATATGTCTAGCAATTAATTGTCTTCAAATTTTTCTTTGATCCTTTAGTTTTTTCCTCCTTATTAACTGAATAAGACTAAATTGAAAACTCACGTAGACGAAAAAAATTAAAATGATCGAATTTAACCGTTGCGCATATTGATACTTTGCATTACTCTATAATCTTGACGACTAGATTTCGCCGATCAAAATATATGCAAGCACCTAATAAAACTTTATTACAAGTAGAGTATAATAGCGAAGAACGGTAAATATTAGAATTGAAAACTTGGCTTCTCTTTACGACAATGGGCTTAGATCAATTACAAAATGGACAACTCCAACAATCCTTTTTCTCGCATCTCAATTAATAAGAAACTTTATGCAATTTAAATTCATTTGGCATTGCTCTGTACAAAAATCCTGATCTCAAATGATTTTAATACAAAACAAAAAAAAAAAGAAAAAATTCTCTTTATATAAATATAACCGCGAATTAATATCCAGCCAGGTTTTTATTTTCGCGCGAAAAGCGCAAAACAATCTCATTAAATTTATCGTCATACGAATCAAGTTTTCATAGCATTTTTTAACAACTTTAAACTATTACAAATCGAATGAGTGTTTGATTTGAATCGCGACAATATTTTTAACATCGTCTAAATTCATTGGAAAAGCATATCGCAATTTATGTAATGGCAATTTAATAAATGGTATATATGGCCATAAATATGATATCATTCTCGTGGATTTAGTTCCCGATTGTTGCTGCGCCACCACCCTCGTAGTAGTAATAGTAGCAGTAGTAGTAGTAGTAGTAGTAGTAGTATTTAACAATAAGTGAACATTATCAGATGAGAAATATATCTCTTACTGTAATAATATTTGAAAATTTATGTTTTCATATGATAAAAAAAAAAAAAAAAAAAAAAAAACAAGAAGAAGAAGAAGAAGAAACTTTCATGGATTTTGTTATTTATTCACATATATGCGAAAAAATCTCTCCACATTTTACTGTTTCTTTCTTCACCAGTTCAATGATAACGATTTGTATAAAATACATATTTATAACACCTATCCCCCTCGCATTCTTTTGTTTTGCTTTTTTTTTTTTTTTTTCAGCTCCTGCAACTGTAACAGATGCTCCTGTTGATAAAGCGCAAAAATGCAATACGGAAGAATGTCAACTGCCATACTGCTTCTGCTCGAAGGATGGTACACAAATTCCCGGTGGTTTAGAAGCCGATAAGGTATACAACAAAAAAACTCAATGAAACATATTTAATGCTAAACTAAAATCACACAAACAAATATGTAACATACAGTTAAATAGCAATTCCCCTAAGAAGAGAAAAAGTTGAACATAAAAAAAAAAAAAAACAAACAGGAAAATATTATGTTTAGCTTACGTCGAATTTACTTTTATAGCACACAACTACAATCAATATAAAAAGTATTAACACCATTGCATTATTATTATTATTATTATTGTATCATTGAGAAGAAAAACTATAATCATCTTGCGATCAACGGATTTTCGATATCCGCTACGCTATATTCATAAGTACAAATTGAATCGACCAACTACCACGTATTTGAAATTATTTTTACACTAACGTTTTAGATCAGGGATGGGTAACTTTTTTCATCAACGGGCCAATATTAATTTTCATATCGCGACGGCGGTTAGAAAAACTTGCAATTATTATTTAAAATACGGCATTCATCACCTTTTTAAATCGCTCGTTTCATAGCTTAATGAGCCAAAAGAAAAAAAAAAAAAAAAAAAAAAAAAAAAAAAAAAAAAAAAAAAAAAA